TGAATTGACAAAGAAGGATAAGGATTGTGATTGGTTATCCCAATGCCAAGCTGCTTTTGAAAGGTTGAAGAAGTCCATGTGGACGAACCTGATTTTAGCCTTACTAGATATGGCTAAACCATTTAAAGTTCATACAGATGCTTCAGATTTTGCACTTGGTGGAGTCCTCATGCAAGAAGGACATCCGGTAGCATATGAGATCCGGAAGTTAAACCAGACAGAACGTCGTTACTCGACACATGAAAAGGAATTGTTGGCAGTAGTCCATTGTCTCAGAGGATGGCGTCACTATCTGCTTGGGTCTCCATTTATTGTGAAGATAGATAACACTGCAATTAGTCACTTCATGTCCCAACCAAAACTATCGAGCAAACAGGCTCGTTGGCAGAAATTCCTTTTAGAGTTCAATTTTATGTTAGAGTATCGTCCCGGCTCTAGTAATCATGTTGCTGATGCTCTTAGTCGACGGGCCGATTTAGCTGCCATCTACTCCGAGCTGCTCTTTCAGGGAGCGCAGTCTCCACAAACACTAGAGACCGAATTCGGGCACTTATGGAGAAGGACCCGGCTACCCAATATTTGGTCGACCTCATCAAGCAGGGTAAAACTCGATAATTCTGGCTTAATGGGGAACTAGTGAAGACAAAGGGAGATCGCCTATATGTTCCTAAGGGTGGAGATCTGAGGAAATCACTAATTACAGAATGCCACAATTTGGGCAGTGCATCCCGGAGAGGAACGCGCTTGTGCACTACTGTAACGTGCATACTACTAGCCTCAAATGCTGGACGACATTGCAATATATGTAAAAAAACCTGTCTTATTTGTCAGCAAGTTAAGGCAGATCATCAGAAAAATGCGGGCTTGCTGGAGCTCCTTTCCGTCCCAACCCGGCCATTCGAAAGTGTATCAATGGACTACATTATTGGGTTGCCAAAAGTTGAGGATTTTGGCACTATCATTGTCGTGGTGGACCATCTATCAAAATATGCAACTTTCATTGCAGCGCATAAGTATGTATCCGCGGAAGAGGCAGCTCAACTCTTCTTCAAACATATTGTCAAATACTGGGGGCTGCCTAAGGACATCGTCAGTGATCGAGATCCTCGTTTCACTAGCATATTTTGGACTGAGTTGTTCAAACTTCTTGGTTCAACTTTGAGCATGAGTTCTAGTTTTCACCCACAATCTGATGGACAGATGGAGTGCTTTAATTCTATGCTAGAAGAATATCTTCAACACTTTATCTCTACTTCGCAGAAAAATTGAGTAAAACTTTTGGATGCGGCCCAAATTTGCTTCAATGCCCAAAAGAGCTCTTCTACTAATAAGAGTCCTTTTGAGATTGTTACTGGCCAGCAACCGCTACTCCCTCATACAGTGGATATCGAACGAAGTATCAAGTCCCCTCAAGCAAAGAACATTTCTCAAGAGTGGAAACGAAATATTGAAATTGCTCGGAGTTATCTTGAGAAAGCTCAAAAAGGGTATAAAAAGGCTGCAGATCTAAAGCGTCATTTCATTGAATTCAATGTTGGAAATCTGGTAATGGTTAAGCTTCCCGATAGAAATATTTACAAACCAACAAGAGGAAAGGACTCAAGATTATCGCCAAAATACATTGGACCATTACCCATCGTGAAGAGGATTGGAAGAGTTGCATACAGAGTTGAACTCCCTTCATGGTGTAAAATCCTCAAGGTCCTTCATATTAGTATGTTGAAGCCATACTTTGCGGATAAGGAGGACGCATCTAGAAATGAGTCAAAGCGACCTATGTTTGAACTGAAGAAAGCTGGAAAGAAGGTTGCTGAAACTATTCTTGACCATCGAATCACTAGAGCTTCTAGAAAAGATTATCGGGAGTACTTGGTCAAATAGATGGGATGCAGCAGCGAGGAGAATACTTGGGAAAGATAAAAAGATCTCGGAGCCTTCAAACCATTAATTGAAGCATATCATACATTGACGGCATCGAGGATGTCGCCAAAACAATTGGGGGAGAATGTCAAGGACTGCAGCTTTACTTAGCCCCTTAACACTATCGCAGTCATAGTTTGCCCAACTTCGACCGCACATTGTAAATATTACTTCAAGTTTGAGTTGTAATTTTCTTTTCATTGTAATAGTTATTTCAGTTGTAAAATAATTCTGATATTGGTAAACATTTAGTATGATTCCTCGTCTTTTATACGTCTACTCCTGTCACTTAGGTTTTTATTCAAAATGCTATTATAAGGGGTATTAGTCATTCAAAAATCTTTCAAGTTCACTGGTGTCTGCCCCCTGCACCAACAATTGTAATTTTCTGCTTTCATCAATTGTAATGTTCAGTTTTCATCAATCAATGCTCAATTTACTTTCAATGTATTAAAATTATCTATTGTAAACCTTCTACAAAATTGTAATCAAATTTTCTTTCGTCCCGATGCGATCGAGAAAAGGCGAAAAGTAGTCTAGCGGAGCAGACTATTGCCGCACGGTGTCCCTTTCTGTGCCAAGAAGAAAGGCACCCCATGAATCTTGGGCATGCTTGTGAGGACTTCTCCATCTTGTAAAGAACTTTGTGGAGAAGCTACCTTAATCGACTTTCTCTAAAAGATATTTTAGTAAGGTAAATCACCTTTATAAAACTATCTAAACATATCAAAAAGCAATTTTCAGGGATATAATTAGCGCAAGTCACACGAACTCCAGAGTTATTCCACCCCTACCCCTTCCCGTCCAAAAAATAAAATAAATATTTTGAAAGAAAACCCACAAAGAATCTATGATCTTTAGAGCAGAAAACTCTAGCAATAGAAAATCACAAGCTCAACCAAGTAAATACATTACGTTATATAAGCTAAACAGGCAAAATACAACCCTGCCCTTGAAGCTGGCTTATAGTGGAGAGTGTTAGTCAAGTGTTAAACGTAATTTTAACCATTACATTATACCCTACCCTTCCTTTTAGAGGGCATATACTCAACTTGGTGACTCCAAATACAATTTCGAAAGTAGTCCTCTCCATGTCGCATTACAAAGATCATCCTTAGAAGGAAGCCTAATGTGATATTAATTATTTCATATACATTTGGTTTCAACTCACTATAAAACTGACTCATAAGGATGGTAACTACTTCTAGAAAGATGAATAAAATTCAATGTAGTTGCAATAATGTTTGGACCTCTACTGTAGCTAAACAGTGATTTCACTGTAGATATCAGCCATATCCATTTTTTCTTACTCAAAAGGACTGTGAAGCCATTTCTCTACGCAAACCTAGATACAAGCTTTCTTCTTCTTCATCATCATTTTCTTCTCTCATTTCTTCTTCAATTCTTCTCTCGTTTTTTCTGTAATTAATCTCTTCGTGCAAAATTCTCGTGAATAGAGAGGTAAATTCTGGCATGCCGTTTTTCTCAGATTATGATTTTGTTTATTCAAGATTCTACGTGCAAAATTTTTGATTCGAGTGAATAGAGAGGTATATCCTCGATTTTATCTGATAATTATAATTTTGTTTATTCGACTCACAATTTTGAGTTTTTGTGTGAATAGAGAAATATCTTCTTGGTTTAATTTATATTAAAATGCTTATTAGCTTGTTAATTCATTTATATCTCTTGTGTATCTCAAGCATTAGCAATCTTGGTAGAAATCGTGAAGTATGACTTCTTGTAGCAATCTTGGTGCAGGGACTTTTTGGGTTTTAACACTGAATAATTTTGAAGGTATGGGCTTATCTTATCTTAATCCCTAAATTTATGTGTTAGATGTTTGAGTTTTCGTCATTTCATTAATTTTGGGTGTATGGATTTTGTTTGTTGATGATTGTTCCGATAATGCCGTGAATAGACTTTTGATATGTGCTACAGAAAAGAAGTCTTGAATTTTTATTTTTATTTTAGAGTCCACTAGGGAAAAAATCTGTCTTTTTATTTATTTTCAACTTTTTTTTTCGATGGGACTCTTGATATGGGTTTAAGAATGTGTGTATTTTCAGTTTGTATAGGTCTTTATATATTGAATTTTTGGCAATAAGATCAACAGAAAATAGAGAGGAAAAAAACAAAAACAAAAAAAAAGGAAATATAGATTAATTTTTTAGGCTATGGTTTGGCACCTGAAGCAAGAAAATGTAGGACTAAAGAAATTAGCAAGAAATCGATGAATGATTAGGTTAAACATATAAGTTTGATGAAAATGATTGAATTGCTCCAAGTGTAAGGGGTTTTGTTAATTTAGTTAATAATTGCAAATGGTTTCTGTTAAGTTTTTAGCTATAAGTTTAAGCAGAGTATAGTAAAGTGATTGGGCAGACCATTTGAATCTCTATCTATGCCTATAGAATTTCCGTTGCTAAACTTTTTGGTAGTAATTAATTGAAAATGAGCCAGTAACACAATATGATTATATGTTACGTATTTTTTTCTCAATGTTGATGGCTGTACATTTCATTTTTTAGAAAGTTATTTCCACTTTTCATCCCTTGCTTATATAAAGAAATATTCTTATTTTTGCTGAATTTTGGTGATATTAGTTCTCTTAATCACTTTGAGCATGCAAAAACCTAAAACCCGTGAAGTATGACTTTTTGTAGCAATCTTGGTGCGCAATCCCCGCACGGAATTGGTGTGGAGTCCTCGCACAGACTGTGCGGGGACTCCACACGAAATTGGTGCGGACTCCCATAAAATTATAAATTATCTTTTACTTATATTCCCACAATTTTAAATCTAATTTTTACTAATTGTCAGAGAAAATTCATGTCAAAAAATTTAATTCAAACTTCAAAAGAATGTTAGAATTATGATAAGAAAACTAAAATCTCTACATCACGCTAATAAAAACATATTAAATACAAAAATCGTGCAACGCACGTGGCATCGACTAGTAATAATTTAAAAGCTAAAAACATAAAGAATATAACAGAGATTATTTATGCTATTTTTTTGTGAACTAGCCCATGCCACTCCACAGAGCTCACAACCCCAAGAAGAATCTTCGAAAAAAATTCACAAAATGTGCCAACCATGCACTCATTAATGAATATTGTAATTGATATTTCCCATAGTTGTGATTTAGTTCTTTTACAAATAGAGAACCTCTCACATTTGAGAGGCATGGAGTCTTAATAACTATCATTTGAGTCTATTTAACACATAGGCTGCAAATGCAGCAGCGCTAATTCTAGCCAATAGCCAATACAAGTAACATGAGCCACAAAATGCAACGTCAGAGACTGTTTCTCCTGTTATAGATATAAGATTTTGCAAAGTACAAGTAGGCAGCGAAGGCAGCAGCGCTAATACCAGCCAGTAGCCAATAGAAGTAGTCAATATGAGCCCGATTAAGATTGTCCGAAAACCAACTGTCTCGACCCAAACCACGGGTGGCTTTCTCCACCACAGAGATAAGAAAACTGCTCAAAAAGCTCCCTATACCGAATATACTTAGGTATAGAGCAAGGCCTAGACTTTTCAGCTCAATAGGAACCTGGTCGTAGAAGAATTCTTGGAGACCGACTGTGACAAAGACATCTGAAATTCCGCAAATCAAGTACTGAGGTACCAGCCACCACACACTCATTGGCACTGTTGCTTTGGGCATGTCAACTAGTCCGTGCTCAGCTGCAATTTTCAGACGTTGACTCTCAACCAAAGCTGCAATTACCATAGAAAGAAAAGATAAAAGCATTCCAGTTCCAATTCGTTGAAGCATCGTTATGCCTGAGGATTTCCTAGTTATAGATCTTGCAATAGGAACCAAAATGCGGTCATAGATTGAAATAGAGACAACAACGGCAAGGCAACTAAAAGATTGAAGTGAAGCAGCTGGTATTTGTAAGCTAGATGTAATGGAACGATCCATCGTAACTCCTTGCTTAGTGAATAAAGTCCCTACTTGTGAAAAGACAATGGCATATCCTAAACATGTGGTCCATATTGGAGCAAGTCTAAGAACCGCCTTTGCCTCTTCAATCTGAGTGATACTACAAACTTGCCCATCTTCCTTCGAATCATGAGGCGCAACCAATGCTTTATTAAGAAACCTTTTACAAACCAAAAGTATATGTTAATGAAATGAGATTGATTCCATTCTTTTAATCACATAAAGCAAATATTTAGGGTAATTAAGTATGTGTGATATAAGAATTGACTACAATCCCCAAAAAGTGATTATTTTAAGTATCTAGGTCCAATTATAATCGTGGAACCATGAAATAAAGAGGATGTAATACATAGAATTTGAGAAGGTTGAATAAAATGAAAAGTGCTTGTCTGAAAGGACAAAATGTCCTTAACGACAAGAAAAGAAACGAAAACATGCGCCAATAATTAGAGCTGGAGGAGATTGAACATAAATTAGTCGGAACGTGTTTTGTGTAGCCCAAAACAGGTTCCGTCCTTGAGAGCAATGCAAATCTCAATAACACAAGTCAAAAGAGGGAGACGCCTATCAAACTTACATTGCTTGTTCTAGTTGCTTAAGATATTACAATAGATCTATTAATAAACCGAACAGGGTGGACAAAAAAAAATTCATATAGCCAACCTCAAATATAATGAAAACAATGTTTAATTTGCTGTGGATCAAGGTTGAAGGTCAAGTGTCTACCTAATTTTATGATGAGGAATTTTGTCCATTAAGAATATCTTCAAGAAACTCTTTAAACATTAGGCTCCATTAAATTTCATTTCATTTTTCTCTCTCCTATTTTCAACCACACAATCTTCCATAAAATAATATTATACGTAAATCGAAAATCTTCCCATCTTTTTCAATCACTCATTTTTAAAAAAAAAAAAAATACTATTTCACCAATTTTCATTTCAAAAAATAAGGACCAAACGAAAGCTAGATACTCTTTGTTTCAATGAGTCAACTCTTAAAATAATACTTTACGAAACTATTTAAATTAACATTTTAATTTAGAGAGTGAGTTTGGCTCACCAAAAGTCACTCTCTTTAATTAAATGATTTAAAGTTTTTCAATTTTTTATGTAGGAAAATAATAAAATAAACTAGAGAAAAGTTAGTTAAAACAAAAAATAATGGAAAGCAATAATCTTTTTTGGAAGTAGTAAAATTAAGTATTAAATATAAAGAGCTTGTTTGAGTACTTCAAAATTTTAACTCTAAATTTATATATATGCTTTTAAAAAATAAAGAGTCTCTTGAAAATATTTTAATAAATGGTATTCCTATTTCATCGTAAAGGACCAAGCGCAATAAATAAGAATGAACTTGGATATTGCATAAAACATGAATCATCAAACCCCACTGATTGGACACATAAGGATAAGAATTATAGAAACATCAGTGTGGGACCCCCTCAGTGAGGAGGTTGTACATTCAGAAAAATCCTTATAGAAAAACTAATGTACCCAAGAAAGGTCAGGAGACCAATCCTTTTTCCTTTTTCTTTTTTTCTTTTTTTCTTTTTTATTTTTTTGTGGCAAATATCAACGCAAAGGAATCATTGACTTACTTGAACTGTTGAGAGCCTTGATAATGCATAATTCCCAGAGCTTCCTCCTCCTTGGATATAGCAACCGGGGTAGTCCGCCAATTTCTAGCCGCATTCAGGAATACCAGACCGATTCTCACAAATGGGCTTCTTTTGTCACTTGGCATGCAGAATCGGTAAGTCCTCGTTCCGAGCAAAAAAATAATTAGAGCAAGGCACATGAGAATGCAGGGGATTCCGAAGCCAAGAGCCCAACTTAGGTTGTCTTGAATGTAGTTCAAAACAAAGAGAGACAAAATAATACTCAAATTCGTGGAAAAATACCACCAGTTGAAGAATGAGCTTTTATCTTTACATTCTTTTGGGTCCTTCTCGTCAAACTGGTCAGCTCCAAAAGCCTGAAGACAAGGTTTATGCCCTCCTTGTGCTAATGCAAACAAATACAAAGAGAAGAAGAAGAAAATACTTTGAAATTGCGACGGAGAGCACGTCTGGAGATTTGCAACGATTTGGCAGTCTGGAGATTTGTATGAATAGAGAGCAGCAAATAGGGACAAGAAGCCAAGTGCCTGGTTCCATAACAATTCAAATACAGAATTTAATCTTAGCATTTCCCAGAACAAAACAAAAACTATTTATCATTTTGGAGTGAGCTTTTAGGGCTGACCAGGATATAGATCCCAGAGGCAATGATTATAGTCCGGTATTGACCGAGGAAGGAGTCAGCCACAAAAGCACCTAATAGTGGCAGAAGTGACACCGTTCCAGACCAAGCATTCACGTTCTCCGCTGCTGTTGCAGTGGATTGGCCCAATGGACCCGTCAAATAGATAATCAAATTCGAAGATATTCCAAAGTAGGCAAATCTCTCAGCCATTTCAACCCCTGATTATTAGAAACAAAAAGTAAATAAGTACACCTTTTCTTGCCTAAATTGTATTGAATGGGAAATTGCCGAAAGTTGACACATGCACAGATGACCACAGGGGTATTAACATCTCATCTAAAACATTTAAGCAATTAGAGAGGGTGGCTGTATTAATTGAGGGTGTTTTTGAGACAGCTTTTACTTGGGCTTGGATTTTCAAAAACAGTTCATGCCAAACAGGCCCTTAAATCCTGTATTGAATGAAGAAAATTAGTACCTATTAGAAAGAAGGCCGATTTCCAACCACCGGAACCCCGTCGGGTGACAGGGCGGCCTTTGAAGTCCACGAAGCCATGGATGAAGTTGCCTAAGAGTGGAATTCCAGCAGCTGAAGAGATGGGCATAGCCATATCTATGGAGTTCACTTAACAACTATCTGTAAATTTCCTACTATAATTTATTTCTTCTTCTTTGAGTATACTGAGATATTTATCAGATGGATCAACCATCTTTCCACGCTCCAATAATTGCAAAGAGTCGGAATATTCTATCTCTCCTAAATTATTTGTGACCGCCATGAAAGATACACATTCAACCAACCAGAGAGGGGACAAGGACAGTTAACGTTCTTTATACAGAACAGAACAGAGTTGATGACACGATATTTTAGCATCCAAAAAAGAATTATTTTGAATAAAATATAAATTGGGTCACGAATTTCAATGATTTTATGTTGTGAATTCTATCCGCTTGATTTTATTAAAAATTGGATTTTTAGTAAATTTTAATAAAAATTGATGAAATATATGATAAAAAATTGATGAAAGTTGCAAATCATAAAATGGGTAATTAACACAAAAGGTAATTTGCACAAAACGTCCATACTTTTCATATCTATTGTGAAAGACGTCCCTACATTTCATTTTTGACATTTTTGCCCCTATTTCCACATTTCTTGGTGCTGAACGTCATTTTCACCAATTTTGGACAATTTTACCCTCCATTCAATTAAAACAAAAAAGAAAAGAAAGAAAACAATAAATAACTAATTGCAACTACAGCTCCCAATTTTTAAAAAATTACAAATCAATCACAAATATATAAAAAAAACTTTCAACATAGGTGCCAACAGCCATGGCACCCAATTTTCGGCACCAAGGCCATCGGATTTTAACACCACCACCATCTCATCATCAACCCTAACATCCTCACGCAAATTTCAGTCCCAAATTCCAGCAAAATCGAGCCAATTTTTGCTAAAAAATCACCTCTCGCGCACGGTATTATTGCAAATTTGACCAAATCCATGGATGCCCATGCTCCATACAACCCACAGGCTACTCATGCCCACCAAGACGCATTCATACATGTTCCAATTACATCAAACAACTTATAAAATCGAGATCTACAGCCAATTTTCAAGTCAACAAACTCGCGGCCGACAAAGCCATTTTCCAGCGACGGTGGTGGGACCGATGATCGTCGACCACCACCATAGGACACTCTCATCATGACGCATCTATTGAGCATGTGGGCTTTCCCAATTCGTCGTTGAAATGGCTATTCGTCCAGAAACAGTGAACACACATAGAAATCGGTCCTATCCCCTTCCAATTGCCATCCCTCTATGACTCCAATCTGCAATTTTCATCAATCAGCATGCAATTGAAGGTCAAACGACGTTAGATATGAATTTAATTACTTCAATTCATCAACCAAATGCAACAATTTTAGATTTGACCTCATTGAATGTGCTGCAGCGCGAAGAGGATAATTCTCCATCAATTCGTGAGTTTAATGTGTCCCAACATATGAATCAACCTGGGGAAACTCAAATTCCGGCCAAAAAACACTAGGTAATCGTTCAATTTTAGAAATTACAGTACTCGTTTGCCAAATTTTGGAGTCGGATGGTGTTCTTTACACACTTAAAAAAGAAGAAATAGAAACTGGATGCCATTTGTAATTTTTTTAAATTTGGGGGTTGTGGTTGCAATTAGTTATTTGTTGTTTCATTTCATTTCTTTTTCTTTTTCTTTTTATTTGAATGGAGGGCAAAATTGTCCAAAATTGGTGAAAATGACGTTCAACGCCAAGAAATGTGGAAATAGGGGCAAAAATGCCAAAAAATGAAAGGTATAGACGTTTTCCACAATAGACATGAAAAGTAGGGACATTTTGTACCAATTACCCTTAAAACAAAATGTTCTTACTTTTTAATGTTATTGTATAAAACGTCATTACCTTTCACTTTTTAGCATTTTCACATCCTATTTTCACCTTTAATTGCGGAAAATGTCATTTTCTCAATAAAAAAATGTAAAATATCAAATATACCCTTCTATTTAAATTTAAAAAAAATTTAAATTTACAATTATACTTCCAAACTTTTTAAAAAACTACAAATAAGTCCAAATAAATTATTAAAAATGTAATTAGCATAAAATGTCCCTTCTTTTCCATATTAGTGTGCAAAATATCCAAACCTTTCATTTTTTTTTGACACTTTCACCCTTATTTTTCATTACATTACGAAAATTATCATTTTCATCCATTTTTTCAATTGAAAGTTGTAAAATGACAAATATACCTTCTTATTTAAATAAAAAAAATAAAGAACAAATTGCAACTACACTCCCAAATTTTTCAAAAAATGTACAAATAAATTCCAAACAAATAATTAAAAAAAGAAAGTGATTTTTATTTCTTATTTATTTATTTAAAATTTATTTGTACTTTTTGAAAAATTTGTGAAAATAGTTTTAATTTGTTCTTTATTTTTGATTTCTTTATTTTTATTTTATTTAAATATGAGGGTATAATCATCATTTTCATCTTTTAATTGAGAAAATAGATGAAATGATGATTTTCGCAACAAAATGTGAAAATAATGGTGAAAATGTCAAAAAATGAAATGTACGGATCGTTTTGCACAATGATATTGAAAAGTGGGGATGTTTTGTGCTAATTACCCTTTTAATAATTTATTTAGACTTGTTTGCAGTTTTTTTAAAGTTTGGGAGTATAATTACAATTTGTTCTTTAATTTTTCATTTTTTTATTTAAATAGGATGGTATATTTGTCATTTTACATTTTTTTTAATTCAGAAAATGATCTTTCAACAATGAAATGTGAAAATATGGGTGAAAATGTCAATAATGAAATGTAAGGACATTTTGCAAAATATTATTGTAAGGTATGAACGTTTTGTGCTAATTACCCATATAAAAATGTACGATTAAAAATGAATTTAAAAGATAAAACTCAAAAGGCTTTAGTATTGACGACGGTAAAAGATGAAATGGTTAAACTTGAAGTAAAATAAACATGTTACAAGATCAACTTCATAAGAAGTTGTGTGATCGACATGAAATAAACTTGTATGGTGGCTGACCTTGAATGAAATTTCTCAGATAACTATGAAAAGTTATTCCAGTAGAGAATATCAGCGGGCATTTTAGGAGAAAATCTATTTTTATGAAAACTACAATTTTTCCAGATTTAAGTGTGTGTTGAGCCACATTATTTTAAAAATAGCCACGCTATATGTACACTGGAGTGTAAACTCTAGTGTACAGCCCCGTCACATGCGAGGGGGTCCACGAATTTTTTAATCAATGTGGGTCCCCTCTCATGTGAGAGGGGTGTACACTCTAGTGTACAAAAAGCATATTTCTTTTAAAAAATATATTTTTTGTAATGGTAGGTTGATGAAGAATGTGGGGTTAAAAAAATGAGGAAATATTTTGAATTTGCATGTAATATTATTTTATTTAAAAATATGTTATTGAAATGATGTCAAATTACTTTAAATATATATATATATATATATATATATATTTTTTTTTAAAGAATGCGGCTCAAACAGAATCTAAGCGTGAGAATTATTTTAGCAAAAATTGTTTATGAAAATACTTGAGAAAATTACTTTCGTCATAAATAATCTATACTCGACTATTTTTAAAAAGAATGAGGCCACTGCCCGAAACTTGGAGGGCCCTTTTGTGTTATTCTATACGACCACATGGAGTAATACCATGCGGTTGTATGTTAAGAAGGAAGTGACCGTTGGAGGCGGTTGCGGTTTAAAATTAGAGGCCTTTCACTTATATTTTGGCACCACTTCGCATAGCCTTGTTTCATGGCCATATATAGGTGACTTGTGGTCATTTCAAAGAAGCGAAAAACATTACAAATCATAAGAAAACCACTTGATAATATTGTGATCATAATCTTGATTCCACAAAGAATAAATCAAAATTTCTTCATACATATTCAATATTCCCTTTGTGTTCTTCAAATTTTGGAGAATTTATTCAAGTGCTTAAGTATTAATTCTCTACAAGACTTAATTATTCCTACAAGTCATTTGCCGCGAGACCCTTTATGTTATCGAGAGAGGGTAAATATCGTTTAAGGACAACGATATAATGTTGTATTTGAGCCTTTCATTTTTGGTTTGTTCTTTACGTTTATTTCATCTTCTTGATATCACTTCTATGTTGTTTCTTCTCCAATTTCCTCGATGACGATAATTTCCCAACACATGTTACATAAAAGCGAAATACGTAATAGAAAAATTAGAACAAGAACACACAAAATATATGTGAAAAACCCTAGATTAAAAAGAATCACGAAAAAAGGAGGAGATAATCTACTATATCAAAGATGAATACAAGAGGTAAGTGTTTTAGCGACTACTCCGAATAATATAAAGAAACCTTAAAACAAGTCAATAACGTAGGGACATCGATCCATCAGCTACCACAACAGATTCCAAAAAATTCTCATAATTTGGATTTCAATACATAAGTCACATTGTCAAACAGAATTCGGATGTCACCGAACTCTAACACAACCTAACCATGAAAAAAACATTTTTCCATACTCTTTCCTCTAGAGCAGGAAAAAAACATATGGCTCGTCGTCTGTTTTTCACCAAGTTGACACCTGTAAACAACAAATTTAATATAGTCGCCAAAGTTAAGTACAAACCTTTGACATAACCCTTAGCAAAGTCTGTAATACAGGGATCATGGAAAATTTGAATGTTTTCACCATTGCCAACTCCACGTCTGGAGACGTTCTGGATTAACCCACAGGAAACTTCTCAATAGGAAGATGAACCTGAATTATCTCTTGCCATAAAAAGATACTATTCGCGTGATATTTCTCAGCCAAAATTCTAGCCAACAAGGGTATTTTTGTTTATTAGTCGCCGAGCTTGTTTTGCCACTAGTTGCTGGTTAAAATTCAAGATATCTCGGAATCCCATTCTCCCTTCTGCTTTAGAAGTACACAAGTGGCACCAATTTTCCTAAGTATTTTCTCAGATCCATCAATCAAGTCAAACAAAAAATTCCGAATGTTGGCATGGATATCATAACATAAAGATTTTAGCATTCTAAGAGATTTTCTTAGCTTCTTGGTCCTGATAATTTCTCCGCAAGAACATAAAGAGATAGATATGGAGGAGAAATTAGGGCTGTACAAAACTCCGAACCGAGCTAATCAAACCGAACCCAAATCTAATCGAACCGAGCGATTCTTTTTAAGTTAAATACCCAAACGG